TCTCCAGCAACCCCCAAAAAGGAGAAGAGTGGAGGAGTAGAAGCTTTACTTGGCCTGTACATTACAGTTTGCCAACTCCTCTTTTAATCTATCACATCTTAAGTCATTTCTTTCCGTGAACCAAGAAATATAAAGTCCAAGTTCTAATTTTTGAGAATTTGGGAAATTTTAATGTCATTTAACACATCAAAGAAGAAACTTCAGGGCTGGCCAGATAGACCAGTAGATTAAAGCACCTGTTTAGGCAGACACAGGGTCTGGGGGTTTGATCCCTGGGCCTGCTGAGCCAGCCCTGCCCCTGGGTCTCACTGAAACTGGTAGTGCGCACCTGTAATCCCAGCTCTTTGGAGGCTGTAAACAGAAGGATCACTATGAGTCCAATCAACATAGTAAGACCCTGTAGGCCCTGTACTAAATACAAAAAAAAAAAAAAAAAAAGAAAGAAAGAAAAAGAAACTTCACTCTTCTTTGACCTAGTCAATGCCATATTTCAGCAATTCTAACTATTAATAATTCTGCTGTCACTACAAATGGTTCCCTTTTTGAAATCATGAACTCTCAACATTTAATGAATTAAGAAGAATCTTATTATCAGACATGATCTAGGCAAGTCCAGGACATGCATGCTACAGTGGGCTTCTGTATTACTGAAAGCTCAAAAAGGTTCACCATCATGATAGACTCCAGATAGTCTATTTATTGGCTACATAACCACCTATCTTCCAAGTCCTTAATTTTTTTATTTTCAATATCCTAAACTTCAACTACTTTCTCAACATAATCTTGAGTGTCCTTGTGTTGGACCCACTTATAGAGGGTCCTGAATAAAACTCAAAACTAGCATATGAGTATTCAGAATAATTATCTCTATAAATTTACATTGTGCATAGTGTTTTGTGCTCATACAATTCTAATAATTTTCCCCTCAGAACCATCAACAGTGCTCTAAATTTGTGCAAACCCACTGAGAACCCCATTCCAAATTCTTCCAACAGAAAATCAGGAGATGACTGCCAAGAGCTGATGATACTTTCCATCTCCAATCTAAGGCCACTACCTGTAAGGAAATGAGCACAGGAGCCCATCCCTATCCTTTCTGTTTGCAAGACAAGATTATCCCTCCTCCTACCCAAAGCTAATCTTTATCTTCTGCTTTGTCAACTGCTACAACTAGACAAGCACTCTCACCACTGAGCTGCATTCCCAGCTCTAGATTAAGATTATGTTAAATCACTTCTTTTAGTACCCTATTCTTTGAGTTTTTTTCAGTGTAACTCTATAGGTCTTTTTATCAGAATCCCTGGGCAACTAAAATAAGAAGAGCATAGAGGCTGGGTGGAATGCACACATTTATAATCCCAGCAGCCAGGAGGCTGAGGCAGGAGAACTGCCTCAAATTTGAAGCCAGTCTTGGGTACACAGTGAGTCTAAGGCCAACCTGAACTGCACAGAGACACCACGTCTCAAAAAAAAAAAAAAAAAAAGTTAGATCCTGGCAAAAGCATACCTTTCCTTTCTTTATACTCTCATAGAACTGTTTATCATGAAAAAAAATTTTAAAAGAAACGAGATTTTAAAGCTTTCATATCAATTACAGTGATACATGCATGCCCATGTTTATAGCAGTGAAATTTATAATAGCTAAATCTTAGAAGTGGACTATATATATGTCAAAAAACAACCAGTATTTATACACAATGGAGTACTACTCTGCCATACAAAGATAAACTTGAGTCACTTGGAGGAAAGTGGATTTAATGTTAAAATAAATAAATCAAGGACACAAACTTAAATATTACCTAGAAACCCAAAACATACAGAGCAAGATAAAAGACAGATAATAGGAAAAAGTGAGAGAGACCTTTCACAAAGGGAAGGGGAACAAGAGATAGAAAGAGGTGTGTGAGGGGAAGGGAGAATGACTACAAAAAGAATTTGGGTGTTATACACATGTGCCAACTCTCAAGGAATATTATCATTATGTATTGCAAAGAAATACTTATAAAAATAAAATTAATAAAGCTTTCATTTCCAAAAATCAGCTGTTTAAACAAAGTTTGAGATTTTGAAGAGCTTTAAAAAATAAAAATAAAAACAGGAGCATCTTAGTTTAAAATAGGGAGAGTGATCTGAAGCCCCATATGATTTATTTTCTCAAAACATCTTTGGTAGAATATATAAGGCAATGATTTTAAAGAGACAAAAATAAATTCTAGTGGAATATTGTTTTGTAATTCTCAAGCTGGCACTGTAATTTAAGCATATATATTTATGTTTAATTATGTTTGAATAATGTTTCAATCATCCTACACATGTTATGCACTCAATAAATAATCTGTCACTTTTTTTGTGTGTGTGAGTCACAAAAGATTGTGACTCATGGAGTTAAGAGCTACTCAAATACAATTTAACCTGGAGCAGTATGCAACCTATTATACCAATTTAATCTAGTAGTTCAGGTAGAGCCCCGAAAATAGATTCTCCTTATTTATAGTAGCTATGGCCTATAAAATTCCATAGGTAGTCAATTAGCAAATGTATGGTTAGGTTCCTTTAAGCCTCTGGTCACATTTTCAATCAACACATAACTTTATGTCTGTTTGTGTTTAAGGATGCATTATATAATATATAGTTGATTCATTAATGCTGAACTGGCACCACAAGACATAGCTTAAGTCTAAATGAAGATTACCTAACATATGTATTTTCTCTGTAAGAAATATCACAAATTTTTTACCCTTAGGAATACTATGCAGCACTACACCAATTTAGCACTAGGACTAGGGGCCATTTTAAACAACAAAATCACCAACAAAAAAGCAAGAAATTAAAAATACAGCATGCAATAGCAATTTAAAATGCATTATAGTATGAGAGGTCAAACGGGATGATGAATTCAAATATTTGGCTATTCAGTTCAAACACATGTATATAAATGACCTTGAAAGTGTCCTGAGTATTGATTTGGAGGTTATTTATAAAAATATTAAGTTTATAAATATGGAACATGCAAATATAATGAGGATGGGATTTTCCTAGACAAATCTCATATAAGATTTTTTATCTTTTTTATTTTTTAAGGAGAATACAGAATAGCATTAAAACAAAAAATCACAAGTGATACAGAATTTCACTTAACAAAGTAATATGAATTTCACAGTATTTGCTGTAATGCACAGTATTGTCTTCCAATTAGTTGTTCATATTACCAGGTATATGCATGGAAAATTGGAAGAAAAAAGAAAGAAATGTGCAAGAAATTAAGAAGAGAAAAAGTACAAACAATTTAAAAAAGGAGACTAAACAAATTAAGAATTGTCTGCTCCTTTCCGTAGACCAGCAGAAATGCACAGTACAGTTGTCCAAACCATCCTGTTTACATAAATAGATATATCTCTTTACCCCACTCCTTCCTTCTCCTCAACTCAGTAACTCTTTCCTTTTGAATGAGTTCATTCCCTTTTCACAGTATCTATTATTCCCCTCAGACTCCATTTCCCCTTTCAGGTTCTCACACTAAGGACACAATATGACGTTTAGACATGTGAGTCTGATTTATTTCACTTAGGAGTATGTTCTCTAGTTGCATCCAACAAAAGACTCTATGATGTTTTACAACTGAATAATACTCCATCATGTAAAAATACCACATCTTCTTTATCCATTCTTCAATTGGTGGCCATCTGGGTTGTTTCATACAAGATTTTGATTTAGGCACAAAACATGAGAATTAATCTATAAAAAGATGGATGATAGGCAAGGAAAAAAATACAATAATACAGACTCAAAATTCTGCATCAACCATATCTACTTACACTTTAAAATATGTGTGTCAACTGCATTATCATTCCCAATCCATCACCCTTCCCTATATCTACAGGCTTCGCCCATGACAATGCTATTCCCTTCACCAAAGATCAAGATATATTTCTCTACTCTACTAATGTTGGCCATGACCAGGGGGTTTGATTTAGCTGATGCAATATTAGTGAATGTGATATAAGCAAAGACTTAAAAATGTACTTCCATAGTTGGAGTTTCCTTGACTTTCTGCCACCACTATGGGCAAATCATGCCTTCAAGTAATCTATCGGTCTAAGAAAGAACAAAGACGCATGGAACAGACCTATACATGCTACCTGCAGTCTACAGCCAAGCTCAGCCAAGAACAGCCAACCCACAGATATATTAGCAAGAATAAATAACTATTTCTCTACGACCTAAATTGTACAGTACTAGTATGGCTATAGTTAACTGATATTTCATATATTAATTTTAAAATATTGTTTTATTAAAAATTGTTATGCAAAAATGCTAAGACTCTCTTTCATTCTTGTCCTAAGTTATAAAACATAGCAGCTGTGTAGACTGTGTTTTTGAACCTGGCGTTATCATTATCTCCCACCCCACGCAATCTATAGTTGGACCTGTCACCCATTCATCCATGGTATAATCTGCCTCTCATTCCCCTAAACTGGGGCCAGCCCTACCATGCTGTGTAAGAACTGAAGCAACACATTAGGAAATCAACAGTTTACATGTTTGTTCTTCATGGAACCCAGCCACACATCTAGAAGTCAAACTCCATTACAACATCACACTCTGAGAAGCCTAAAACTAAACAAGTGGAAAGAGAAGATGAAATCAAGACTGAGAACAAGAGCAAAAGTGAGAGAATTCAAACACAGAAGGGCAGGCTGAGGGTAGGGAAGAGGTAAAGAGCAAGAGATGTCACAGGATATGCTCTCACTGTAACCATTTGAGTGGGCCACTTTTGGACCTAGTAACCTATTTGCTATAAATTCCACTGCCGTACCTGAAACTATATGAGGCCAAAGAACTTTCTGATCCATTCATATCATTGTAAGAATAATTCTTTATTGTTTTAGATATGCACTTTTACAAAGAATCATTACATAACTCAAGTTGCTAATAAACATACACCAAAATTGAATTTTTTTTCAAAATTGAATTTATTAAAATGTTCTTTTAAATCTTACCTTGGTGTTAGCCATGTCCACAATGTACTGGTCTCCCTTTATACATTCCATTACTTCAAAACCATCTCTGTCAATCACCTTGGCCTGTGAGCTTCCAGATACAACAAGAATCATGTCTCCAGTGTTACTGTACTGTAATGACTTGATTTGATGGCTGTACAAAAGAAAAAGAAAACAGTCTAGTGAGACACTAAGCACACTATTTACACTAAGTCCCCACCTTATGAATGAATTCTATTCCAAGAGAGCGTTCATAATTTGGATTCATTTGTAAGTGTGAAAAACTGAGTCTTGGACACCTTTGACACAAATATATAAAATAAAGCATAAAAAACCAAATACACAAATACTGTAAATAAACTATTTTTACTTTGAGAGTTACCATAAAACAGTGGCACAGTATAGTACTAGAAGTGGCACACAAAGGACTTCATGGAGTGACCTGATAAAAAGAGTTACTATTTGGAGAAGGGAAACTAAATGGAAGATGGTACATTAGCAGTAGGAGATAGAGAGCAAGGGAAAGGTGAAGGATCGTTAGCAATAGGAGATAGTGAGCAAGAGAGAATTTGGTCTACACCTGATGTCCATGACACAGGTTTTTTGATGGATTCAATTCTGAAATCTGGAATAAAAATGATGAAGTACGCCTGAGGAATGGCTCTTTTTTCCCTCATCATAGATAACTCTGTAGCACTAGATGGTATTCTGAAGGGATCCTGCAACCTTTGTGTATTGTACACTGGAGTCCAGAGCATCAAAAACTTAACAGTGCCTCTTCAAGTATAAAGCAAATCCCTTTGCCATTTCCTGGGTTGTGAATATCTATGGTTCTTCAGTTACATCTTTCTCTTGATCTTTGCATTGGGCCTGTAATTCCATCGGGTCTTCATTAAGAAGGTCCTCGTGCTGCACAGAAGGAATTTAGTGAAGTCATCCTCCCGTAGATCTAGTTCCAGCTTTTTGCTAAGGCCATTAAGTTGCTGAAGACCTCTTCAGACTCCTTAACCATCTTCTAAAATCTATGAACTTACTGAACTAACTGTGGACTCCATTTATGATGACAGCCAAAACCTCATGCCAAACAAATTTGGCTTTTTTTGTGGCCTTGTAGATGTTATAGTCATTTCAAAATTATTAAAAGGTTATTCTTGCTTCATCAATTGTCTTCACTGACTGACAAAAAGTATGAGGTAAATAGTATTTCTTGAAAGTCACAGTAACTCCTTGGTCCATATTTTAGATAAGCATGTGATAGCATCCACAGCATGTGATGACAGATGTACTACTTTGACATTGAAACAAAAATCATCCATGAATTAGGGGTGACCTGGTGCACTGTAAGGAAGCCATGAATGTTGAATGGGATACCTTTCTCCAAACAACATTTTTGTATTTCTGGGATAAAGTAGGGGAAAATCCAGTCCAGAGAAATGGCCTTCATAATACCCAGGGTTTGGAGTTGCTCTTCTACACAGTAGTCTATAGAGATCCCAATGCTATGCTTTTGAGGACTCTTGGGTTCTCTGAAAGGCAAGCTAAGAGAGACTTTGGTTTTATATCTCTGAAGGCACTGCTACCAAACAGCAGAGTAAGTCTGTCCTTTGCTGCTTTGAAGCCTGGTGTCAGATTATCCTCTTTACAGATGGCACTTAGTTCTGGCACCCTTTTCCAGTACAGTTGTCTCACAAAATAAAAGCTTGTTGGGGAAAATAAGCACCTTTATCAATAATTTCTCTAAGTGTTTCTGGAAATTTGGAGGCAGTTGTTATAACTGCAGTCACAGCCTTATCACTCACACTGGTACCTCAGTTTATGAACTTAATTTGTTTTATGATTTGGGTGAATACGGCTGAACTGTGTTCATGTGAGTAAAATGGTCATGGTTATGTTCATGATCCAATGTATAGTTTGAGAAAAGAAGTAAAATTTTGCTGAATGCTTTTGGTTGCAAACCAAACTGTTTGCAAACAGAAGTGTTTATGACTGAGGTATTACTGTACTTTTACCTTGTGAATGCTGGCTCTAGCCTGAATCTATTAAACCATCCACGGCTGTCAGGAAAAGATGCAACCTGTTCAGCCATGTTTTCTTCAAGTTTTCAAACAGGCTTATAGCTTTATCTTGAATAAACATTAATCTGAATGGGACGCGAAGGTAATGGTGAGCCTACATCCATACACTGAGAGGTTTCTCCGTCTATCACTGTACCATGCTTTTTCAATATTGTTGGCAACACTGGCATAGCAGACTACACATGCACCATGACACTGGCCTTCTTCTTTAGAACTGTTCTTCAGTAGAACTGTGCCAACTTTTGAACTATTCATCTTCTAAGAGCAAGTGAGTTTTACCAACTTTTTGCCCCTATCCAATCTGTACTATTTCTTTAGGTGAATAGGCCTGGAAGCAGTCTAATTAAACAAGTGTTACTTTGAGGCTGTGAAAAATCTAATATTTCAATATATCTTCAACAATGATCATGTGATACCAAGTCATCTGAAATTAACAGGTAAAGCTGTCTTTGTTGCCTACTTTTTGTGTTGCTGTTGTGTTGTCTACTTTTATAATTAAATAAGATGCTAAATTTCAGTTATAAGTTAGTAAAAAGCAAAATATTTTACCTAGTTTCACAGAAATTGGGAGACCTACTTGCTTAAATTATGAGCCATGGAGTTTAAAATAGCTATGAATTAAAAGTTAAATGATAAGGTTTATATAACTTATACCCAGTACTACATATCATTAAAAATGTGCATTTTGAAATGGAAAATAACTGATATTTAGAACTAATGAATGGGAGTTTAATAACAGAGAATTAGGTTGGAAAAAAATTGGGGACTGAAACATAGTAAGAAAAAATTGAAAAAGCAAAAAAACAAACAAACATAAAACACAAGTAAAATATGACAAAAATTGGCCTCACATTGGAATTTTTTTGAACTGTCTCATTGATACTTATTTCTCAGTAAGATTATGGGGAAAAAAAGGTATGTGACACAATTTTACATTAAGGCCCCCAAAGTTCACCAAAAAGGATAAGTGAGATACTATCATATTTTACAGTATAATTTAATCCCTAAATGCTAGAAAGTTCTCAAAATGAATCAAGAAAGCAAATTACATATTTTTTTAATGTTTTGATTGTTTTGGTATTTAAATCTGTATAATTTACTTTTTAAGAATTATGTAAGAATTTGTATTTACCAACAACTAAATTCAATGTGTATACGTTCACCAGAGATTATTTTATATTACATGGTAAATTTTTACTGAATTTTTAAAATTTTCTTTTATTTTGAAGAGTAAAAAGAAACAAAAACAAAAACAGGATAACATACAATTATACATTAAAAATAAGAACAGCTAATTAACTATGGTTGTTATATTATCTATTTTTATTGTCAAGTCTGTTGCTCAGATTGAGATACAGTTATACAAAATTAGACAAATATTACTCAGCTATAAAGAAAACCTTGAAGCCTTTACAGGTAAGTGGATGCAACTAGAAGCAATACTCATAAGTGAAATAATTAGACCCCACATGTATAAATATTGTATTGTCTCCTTAATGTAAGAAACTGAAAGAAGAAATAAAACCTGAAAGGTATACTAGATACAGTAAAACAGAAATAAACTCAATTTAAAGATTAAACAATGAAGATGAGAAAAAGGAGACAAGATAGTGAAAAAGGAAGGGGGAAAAACATACAAGTATAATACAGGATGGCTGAGAGGACTGTACTAATAATCTCCATCAGTTTTTTGAAAACAGCAGCTAATGTTCAGAAATTTCACCTTGACTAACTCTGTACACTGTTATCTGTGATCCAAGCAAAACAACATCAAGAACAGAAACATATAATACAAAAACCATGCTTGAATACCTTCTCATCTTGATCTTCTAAATGTATGCCATTTCTAATGTCTTATCAATTATATAAATATAAATATAAATATAAATATACTCTTTTTAAAGTAATTTTTTAAAAGTAAAAAAAAGACAAGATAAAAACTAGGTTTCTTGAAAGCAAGTGACAACAATCAAATATCTGAACTTTTACTCATTACAAAAATAATTTAACCATACATGTATAAGCAAAAGAATGTTCATTACAAGAACAGGAAACAGACATTACCAAATACTGAGAAGCACAAGAGTCCAGAAATGAAAGCTATTTGCCAAGCAGCAATTAGCAGAAAAAAGTGGTTTACTTAGAAAGTATTTATTTACTTAGAGCTTTGTTTAAAGGTCAAAGAGGTTATAGGGAACACTTGGAAGAACTATTCAAGCTATGCCTCACAAAGAAGTCTTCTTTATTCGGTAGCTTTAGTAATAGGACAACTGCTCTGATGACCCAAGGAAAACTCCAGCAACTACCCTTTAGTGTCTGTTGCTCCCAACTCTGCTTTGTCATTATATGACTCAAATATTCTGTCTCCACTTATACTACGTCCAGTTAATTTTTCTCTACTCCCACTGTTGATTTAAGCTTTCTGATGCTTGTGGCTTCAATTCCATGAGAGTTACTCAGGCTCTCTGTCTTTTCTCTTTGCTCCCACTGCTGTCCGCTTCCTCACCAATGTACTGCACATTCAAAACATTCTCAATCATGACAAAATGTGGGAGATGAGAGTTAGGAAAGGCAAACATTTGGGGATTTTTGTTTATTTGCATGTTCTGTTTTTTAATACTTGAAGGATAATATCAAAAGACAGGGTTTTGAGGGAGACAGAGCCAACTGCCACCCCAGTTACCACCATATGGTATGAATGAAACATAAATGAGTGCCAGCGAGATAGTTCAGTAGACTAAGCACCTGCTTAGACAAGCACAAGGACCAGGGTTCGATCCCCAGTACCACATGCCATTCTAGCCACCACAACCAGGTGTGGTAGAATGCTCCTGTAATCCCAGCGCTGGGAAGGCTGAGACAGGAGGATCACAATGAGTCCAAGCTGCATAGTGAGACCCTGTACCAAATAAATAAATGGTTAATTTTTTTTTTCTAAAGGAGGAAGATGACAGCCCTACAGAAAACCCACTACTATTATGGACTAATAGACTATACTGGAATATTTTGCTGAATTTATGCACCCACAATATTTAAATAACAATGAAATACCCTTCTCTGACAAAACTAAACCAAAAAA